CCTACAAAGCTCTCAACAACCTAGCTCCATCTTATATTACAGATCTTGTTGTTCCATATTTTCCTAACAGAGCACTTTGCTCTCAGGCTGCAGGTTTACATGTTTGTTCTTAGAATTTACAAAAGCAGAATAGGAGGCAGATCTTTCAGTTGTCAGGCTCCTCTCTTGTGGAACCAACTTCCAGTTTCTATCCGACACATTGTCCAGTTTTAAGACTGGGCTTAAGACTTTTTCCTTTTTGATAAATCCTATAGTTAGGGTCGGCTTGTTATGGTAAATGGACTGTACTTGTATAGCGCCTTTCTATCTTCTCGAGATACTCAAAGCTCTTTACAACAGTCTGTGCCTCATTTACCCGTTCACACAGCTCTATACTAGATCTACAAAGATAATTGAACAAATCATTCTAAAGAGTCTAATCAGTGCTTCGTTACATTCAGACACTGATGGGACACACATCAGAGGCTACGAGGGGTTCAGTGTCTTGCCCAGGGACACTTCGACATGTGACTGCTGGTGGATTTGAACCCCCAACTCTTGCATTGGCGGGCGACTGCTCTAACAACTCAGCTGCAGCCGCCCCAAGCCTCTTGCTATGCTGCCATAGACTTGCAACAGATAACATCTGTTGTGACTTGGCACCATACACATTGAATTGAACATGGATGTGTGTTGGAGCTGTTCATGAGGCCTGTGTCTTGCTGACAGCTGGGATGGATTCAAATCCATTCATCCACACCTGGAAACCACGCAGCATAATTTACCCATGAGTTCTGTAGAGAATGAAGAACTAGATTAATTTTAAACTACACTCACATTTTTCTTTTTCTGCTAGAAGAAGTGGAATATAGAGTTGCCTTGAGTTTAGCATTCATCATGACTGCCCACTTGTTGAAGTGTCTTTACTGAGTTGGCAGCAAGTTGCGGCCTGCAGCATGATCAGACAGCAGCGTGTTTACTAGAGCACAACACTGGTTTACACTGTGTGCCATATGTGCAGCAGGGATCTCCTTATGCTCAGTCATGTGTTAGTGTATGACCTATTTCAGGTACAGTCGGACACCGTAGTGACCCAGATGCCTTCAAGATCAGAACCACATGTCTCTGTACTTTTAACTGCCTGTTTGCAGGTTCACAGCTTGTACTGGATTTATACTACAGTACATTCCTCCTGTCACTGCAATATAATGTAGTTGCTGAACTGGATTTACAAAACTAATAAAGAGATGAGGAATTGATTATTGAATTGAAAACAGTCTACGGGATTATTCAAGCAATATATTCCTAATTCCAAAAGTTCTTAACTCGTTTAAGATTTGTACCTTGAGAAGTTTCAAAATATTACCTCTATACAAGCGAATGGAAAAAACGAGACTTCTTTATAGCACTAACTAAAAAACGTCTGGTTGGCATATTTGTCATAAATTGACGAGCAGTACATTTTTCAAACGGCCTGTTATTTACTGTAAATTAATTTGTGTTGCTGTGACTGACAAATAAAAAAGACAAACTCTAAAATAAGAGATTTTCTGCTGCAAACAACTCAAACGTTCATAGAGGTGTATGCAAATTCTATTTTATAAATCTTTACAAAGCCATCAAATCCACATTACACAGTTAGTCCAACAGAAATATATTAACAGAAAGTACCCTAGGCAAAGTGCCACTGGAAGTGCTACAGCTAGCTGCTGATGCTTCCATTGTTCACATTTGAAAATAATATATTATTTAGATTTAATTAAACCCACCTGAATCTAATGAATCTCTATGATTTTATTTTAGACTGAAGGCAGCATCAATACACTTTGGTCTTGCTTAAAAAAACAAAAAACTTTATTTCAAGATCCTATTCATGCAGTGTTACAAATCATATAGGTCACAATTTAAGACAATTAATTTTAAATGTCATCAAATCCCTCTAAGCCATTACGAGCTATATACATCTAAAACTATACATACATCTTTGGTCTTGCTCTGACTAGCCATTAGCTCATTAATCTGATCAGAATTGAACTCTTAACTCATCAAACCAAGGTCATTCAAAAAATTATCTACAACAGGTAAGTTATTCTTTATTTATAACCTTTCCACAGAAACCCACTTCACTGATCCTTGTAATAAGAAACGTATAAAACATACATTTTGGGGTTTTGTATGCTTCTGATTTTTGACACATTATTTGTCCTGCTTAAAGTAAGATTTGCAGTATTTACATAAAAATGAGCATGCAGTGGACTGAATATGTTCCTGACGTCGAAAAGAACTGAAAGCTCTGATTGTTGGATACAGTAATTAGTCTGACTTCACTGAAACCAACAGAAGGATGTTCACATAATTTACTGAAGTATGGAAACAGAGTTCTGTTTGCACAAATGGCCCCCGCTGGGCTTTTCAGAAACCTCCTGTGTGCTCCAAATAAGCCCCGCCCCCAGCACAGAAACCCCACTGTGAGAACCGTGCATTCATTAAACCGTCTGCACTGATTCTGTCAGTCTGTTTTATGTTACAAACGTGCACCCCTTTTTGTGTTTGTGGTCGTTCAGGATGGAAGACGTAGTGATCGCTGGGATTTCGGGCCGTTTGCCAGAATCCGACAACCTGGAGGAGTTTTGGGAAAACCTCATCAATGGTGTGGACATGGTGACAGAGGATGACCGCCGGTGGACACCAGGTTACACGCACACTAATATTCTGTGCTTTAGAGAACAAAGATGGTGGCTGAGTTTTTCTTTTACACATTCACACTCTTCTTCATACTGATTTATTCTATTCAGTTTTTAAATTATTTTCATTTTGCACAAACACACTGCACAGAAATCATTAAAGCTGAGTCATAAAGGCAAAGTGTCTCAGCCTCTCAAATACAAACTTGGGATATTTCTTTATTTCTTTTCATAAAAGCTTTGAATTTGAGTGGTTGACCTCTTATTGTACTTTTAGAGGCTGTGAATTATTTAACCTGGAATCTGATGGTAAAATATTCAGTGTGGGTAGGAGTTTAAATCAGTTTTCAGTTTGATTATAGGTCATTAACCTACACAAAATATATTGAATAATGAGGAAGACGTTTTAAAATATTCTAGAGCAGGGGTCACCAACGTTTTCGAGGCCGAGAGCTACTTGAGTGGGACCAAGAGACACGACGGGCTTCTTGTTTGATACAAATTTGCACGGCTCACCTTTAATTATAGCATTAATAATATATTTACATACATGACGTGAATACATGCCTGATCACATCTGATCAGATCTGTATTATTAAAACCTCCCCACAGTGATTATCAGTAAGGATTTAACTTGGTAAATATGATCAATTATTATTGATAATTAGTGATTAGAACTCTCAGTCGAGAACTTGAGTCCTCAGTTTGAATCCTTTTTGGTTCTTCTGTGCATCTGTACGTTGTTCCTAGCTGTGACTGGGAGTGTGGATGGTTGTTTGTCTCTTTGTCTCTGGGACAGACTGGAGACCTGTCCTGGCTGTCCCCTTCACCCAAAAGCAGCAGAGACTGGCTCCAGTCCCAAACAAGAGGACATAACGGACGACTTATTAACTGATATAAACATAAAACACTTTTTATTTTATGTTAATCTCAATCTGTAACATTTGAAATTCAGTGTATTTTATAAATATTTTATTAACTGTTTTGTAGGAATGAACACATTTGTAACATTCAAATATGTCTTTTAGTATTGACAAGTTCTGTAACATTTTTAATAACCTATTAATGATAAAATCTTCCAATCAAGTCCTGTTTGCACCAAGTGCTGTGGGACATATGGCTGCAGCAGATCATCCCGATAGGAGGGAGCAGAACTGTTCAGAGATTTAAAAACATACAGAAGAATTTTAAAATGAATTTGAAAGTGAACTGGGAGCCAGTGAAGGGAGGCCAGAACTGGAGTAATGTGCTGTCTGTACCAGTTAAACATCATGCTGCAGCATTTTGAACCAGTTGTAAATGTGCAATGGAGGTCTGACTGATTCCAAAAAGAAGAGCATTGCAGTAATCAAGCCTGGATGTCATGAAAGCATGTATTACTGTCTCAAGATTACTTTTGTAATTAATCTTTAATTTGCTGCTTTACAAACTGGAATTTTAACAGGATTTATAATTCTAATAAAAACCACAAATGACAGAAATCCCACTAGTTAGATGGACCATGACCATGGAGACGGGCCTGAAAACACTAATGGCAGTTGTGTTGCATAAATTACAAATCCCATAAAATTCCTTTTAAATTCCTGGTTTCATGCAACAAAACAGAACGCCAAGAGACATGAATACTTTCCAACCCACTCTATAGTCAATATTATTATAAGATAACTTGTGCAAACCTAGATGTGATCTGCATTCTTTCCTCCCTTCAGATGCAACGAGCACTTAACCAAGCTGCCGTCCTTATGAGAAAAAAATAACTAAAATGGTGCTTCTCCATGTTTTTGCTTCTCCACAGGCCTGTATGGTCTTCCAAAGCGGAACGGTAAACTGAAGGACATCAGCCACTTTGATGCGTCCTTCTTTGGAGTCCACCCCAAACAGGCCAATACGATGGACCCACAGCTTCGCCTCATGCTGGAGATCACCTACGAGGCCATCCTTGATGGAGGTGAGGGAACAAGGAGACATGAGGCAGGGGTCTTTCCGTTTGTCCAAGACGACCTATTTACGTCTCGGACAACCAGATCTCACCTCGAGGTCGTCCGGTCGACAACCAAGTGAAATAGACATGGATTAAAGTTTAAACTCCACAACGGATTTCCATCATTTTTAAAAATGAAAGAGGAAAAAAATATATATTTGTTGTGGTCGTTTAAAGCCATCCAATCTAAAAATGATACAGAGATTAAACTGATGCTGCTTTCAACCAATAAGGAGAACCAGACTCACGGTTTGACCCAGAGCAGAGCAGGGTGGCTCACACTCTACACAATATACTGTGTACTTGTACTATGGTCCTGCGCACAGTATACTGTGTACTTGTACTACGGTCCTGCGCAC